AATCACATTGTATTTTTAAGTTAAAGGAAAATCTATTGGTATACTATATACTACATTAACTTTAAAAATACATTCCAGTAAGAATATATTTTTATTATGTACATCAAAGTTTCACCTTCAATTTGAAATTGCATAGAATTTTTTTTTTTTTTTTGAGACGGAATTTTGCTGTTGTTACCCAGACTGGAGTGCAATGGCGCGATCTCGGCTCACGGCAACCTCCACTTTCTGGGTTCAAGCAATTCTCCTGCCTCAGCCTCCCGAGTAGCTGGGACTACAGGCACACGCCACCATGCCCAGATAATTTTTGTATTTTTAGTAGAGACGGGGTTTCACCTTGTTGACCAGGATGGTCTCGATCTCTTGACCTCGTGATCCACCCGCCTCGGCCTCCCAAAGTGCTGGGATTATAGGCGTGAGCCACCGCGCCCAGCCTGAAATTGCACAGAAATTTAAAGGGTTAAAGCTATCGTTGCTTTTTCAGATAAATGAATTTGAAGTCAAAGATGATGAGTGTGGGGATCCACTGGTTAGAAGATTTGAGATATGAGCAGATCTTATTGAATCCTGACCTGAATTGGGAAAGAAAAAAAAAAAGACACGACTTGAATAATGCTGGATAGTTATTAACACTAACAAATGGTTAACAGTTAAGTGTAATAACAGACTTGTGGTTTTATTTAACAGTCCTTATCTTTTAGAAATACATACTGAAATATTTACAAATGAAATGATTTGCCATCTGGGATTTGCTGTGAAATAAACAAGGGTTCGAACATGAATGGCGTATAGATAAACCAAGATTGGCCAGGAACCAATCATTTAACATGAATTCATTATGCTAGTCTCCTGTGACATATGCCTGACATATTCCATTAAAAGTTTTTAAAAAGCACTCACTCCAATGTCTCCTATGTAGAAGAGCACAGGCAGCTGGCAGCAACTAAATGGTATCGACTAAATTTTTATAAATTCTAAGAGTCATTAATGGTCAGTTATGTTGAAAGTAAAATCTCTGGGAAACTTCACATGAAGACTTAACTATCTGTGCACAGCAGTATGTACAAAGTTGAATTACCACCACCAGTCACAGGATAGTCGAGCAGCCAATCAACAATGGCACAAACAACAGAGCCAAAGCACCAGCCATCAGCACCACTCTTTGCTGACACATTTATTCTCACCAAACATCACTGAGGGACTAAAACCTCCATTGGAAGTATAATTATTGCCGTCACTGGCTACAGAAAATACCACCTCCAAGAGTATGTGTCTACAGTAACTACTTTTACAAACATCCCTCAGGCCACTTGACACTCACTCAAATCACACAACCAATAGATACATGAGTCAGGATGCCTAGGTGTAACTTACACACATAAAATATATACCCACCAGAACGGCCGTAATAAAAAAGACAAGTATTGGCAAGGATGTGGAGACACTGCAGCCCGCATGTACTGTGGCAGGAATTTTTTTTTTTTTTTTTTCCTGTTTTTGAAGACAGTCTCACTCTGTTGCCCAGGCTAGAGTGCAACGGCACAAACTCAGCTCACTACAACCTCCACCTCTCGGGTTCAAGTAATTCTCTTGCCTCAGCCTCCCAAGTAGCTGGGACTACAGGTACATGCCACCATGCCTGGCTAATTATTGTATTTTTAGTAGAGACAGGGCTTCACCATGTTGGCCAGGAAGGTCTCAATCTCTTGACCTCATGATCCATCTGCCTTGGCCTCCCAAAGTGCTGGGGTTGCAGGCATGAGCTACCACACCCAGCCGGCAGGAATACTTCTAAAAGTACAGACAGACACTTTGGGAAAAGTTTAGCAGTTTTCTAAACGTTAAATATAAATTTACCACACAACCTGACAATTCCACAGCTAGGAATCTGAGATGAAAACATGTCCACACAGACATACTTATGAACGTTCATAGCATTATTATTCATAATTTTAAAAAACTAATTGTAGGCCAGTCAAATGTCTATCAACTGGTGAATGGATAAGCACAACGTGGTATATCCAAACAGTGAACCCGAAATCAGCAGCTAAAGGACTACACACAGCAGGTGTATGCTACAACACAGATGAACCTCAAAAACATGCTAAGTGAAAGATGCCAGATATACAAGACTAACTGCACGATTCTACTTCTGTGAAATTTCTACAAAGGCTAAATCTGTACAGAAAGCAGATCAGTGTGGCTGCTGGGGCTGGAGGTAGGAGCAGAATTCACTGCCGAGCAGCAGGAGTAATTTTGGAGGCTGATGGAAAGGTTCTAACACTGGACTGCACAACTCTAAATGCACTACAACCGATTCATTGTACATTTACAATGGGTGAATTTTACGGTGTGTAAATTACACAAAGCAATTTTTTAAGTGCTATTATAACAAAGTTTTAGAAATGACTATTTTAAAGCTCTGGCTCATAGTCCATTCATTTGATATATTCAACACAAAGAAGTCTAATATACCATTAGGATTAAGAGTATTAGCATTTGCTTGAGAACTAAACATGTTACTTTCAAAGGATTCCAAGTACACCCATCTCTAAATCTCACTAAATACTGCTCTTTCAGCTCTAAGTCATGTAATTATGTGACAAAATCACTGTCAACTCTTTACATTAGCATTGTCCCTTAGCCATTTCATTAATTTGTCTTCCCCCCAACCTTATGCCCTGTAGCATTTCTTTTTAAAAATCTCTTGCTTGGTATTGCCCACGTTTTCCATTAGATAGAAGGTTTTCTCACAATATTTCATAACCTGAAATAAAACTCTAATATTCATATGAACATGCATTTAAATGCATACTTTTTAAATCTGAAATGAGTATCTTTTGTTTGCTCACGAAGCCACTCACATGCTGCCCGTTAGTTCCAAACACTTCACTGTTTCAAATCAGGCTTTGTTTTTACCCTGTGGGTTCGAAGCCACTCACATGCTGCCCGTTAGTTCCAAACACTTCACTGTTTCAAATCAGGCTTTGTTTTTACCCTGTGGGTTCGAAGCCACTCACATGCTGCCCGTTAGTTCCAAACACTTCACTGTTTCAAATCAGGCTTTGTTTTTACCCTGTGGGTTCAAACTTCTTCTTTTCAAGGCAGTGCTGCCTTCAATGCTTAAGCTGACATTTAATTTCAGTTAACTCCATTTCTTTCCATTCTAGTGACAGATTTGCCAAAGAGGTAAAAGTCCCTCTAAAGCCAATCATTTTTAAAAAGTTTTTTTAACGATATTCCCCAAAACCAAATCTAGTATGAAACACTAACAGCCTACAACAGACACAAGTAGAAAGCTATAAAGGAAGTGGAAAGGGCCTGCCTGCTATGGCCCCACCTCATGAAAGACAGCAGCCCCAAGTTACAGCTTGAAGACCAAGGCTCTAAATGATTCCAGGCTACATACATGATTTCTGCACAGCGCAGCTACAAAACAACCATGCAGCACTTGTAAGGAAACAGAAACTTGGGATACACTTTAAAACACGCTTAAAATCTCAATTTAAGAAATGGACAACTATAATATGATTCCCTTTAAATAATTTCCCTTTAAAACTCCATAAAGACATTACTTATTGGGAATTCCACTTACTACAAAGGTGGCACATCTTTTATCATAACTTTCCTGTGACAGATTTTTAAAAATCAACCAAAGGAAAATTTAAAAACACATTAATAGGAAACATTGAACCTAGCGAAAAGTTGTCAAATAAATGAGTTGGTGAGCAAGAAATGCTACTTTCTCAACAGGTAGGAAAGAAAATAAGATAGCAAGAATGCTCTGGTAAAATCATTTATGTAACTGTATTACGAGTTTGAAAAAGTAGCACTATTTGCCTCCAGAAATCAGGTACAAATAAAGCCAATAGTTGAGAAAAATGGCAACAAACAGCAAAGAGAAACCTGGAAAAGGGCATCTGTACTGTCAGGAATTTTATAATTTATCTTAACTACCAAATACACACCCCGTTCCCTCAGAAGTCAAAGATAAAGGTGTCATGATAAATAACTTCACCACAGTTCTATGAAATAAAAATAAAAATTATTGCTGTATTATGACTGTAAAAATGGAGGCAGTAAAGAGTTCAGAAATATCCTCGTTTATAATCAATTAAATCATGACTCATAATTCGAACCCTAATTACCACATTATGTAGAAATCACAATTCAGGTTTTGTGTCCTCATTTATATGTTAAATAGTCCACATTTAAAAACATTTTATCATTACATTATCAAATTTGATAAAATCTTATGAAAACATCTAAGTATTCAATATAAATCATACTGTTAAAAGTATAAGGTAACATTTAAAGAAAACTGCTGAGGTGCCAGGTAAGTATTTTCTATGAAATATACACAATCTAACATTTAGAACTGCATAAATTAACTCTTGCTAAAAGCTGACCCCGCTTTACAAAGGCATACTTTGTGAACCACGGTAAATTTCCCCAGCATCACTTTCCTTTTATTCCAAAGTGCCTTCAATTAAGTTTAACTTTCTCCTGTCATTCGTATGTGAAAATTACAGAAGTTTTACAATACGCAGTCTTAATAGTAACATGTTTCAAAACCTAAGCAAAGTGTACATTAAGTTAGCTACTACTATCTTATCATCAAATAAAAAATAAATGAACACTTAAGTCTTTCTGAGGAAAAAAATAGTGTACCTTGCTTAAATAAGAATTCCCCAGTAAAGATACTAAGTAAAAGGTTTCTCAGGTTATTTCGTTGAGTAAATTTACTTTCTCTCATTAAAGCTTTTTAAAAGTCTAAGGAAGGATATGTACTTACAATGCCTTATCAGACAAGGACGGTATTGTTAATAAAGCAGCCCCACAGAGTTGTAAACATTTTAAATGCGGTAAACAAGACCTGGCATGTCCTTTCTCCCTAAAACATGCCATTACAACGCTCTCCATGAACAGTTATTCTTCCTGGACAAGTTTTCAGGTATATTTGAAATCTATAAAAAAATACACTGAAATATGTGAAAAGATTTAGTCATGGCAATTTCACTGAAGCTTTTATTGCCTCTGTTGGTAATACGACAGGGACTGTAAGAAACACAGTTGAACTTACAGAGATATGCAGATGATATTCACTAAAGATAATCTTCATCTCAAGTATTTTTAATATGTGGGCACTTCTAATTTTATACATTTTACTATTGAAAAAGCATTACATTTTAAAATGTGTACCTTTTTGACATTTGGCAAAAAGGAAACTGTACCTATGGTTCAGTTGAAAACAAAGAATCAGCATGGGGAGCTGACCGAAATGAGGACTGAAACACTTAGGAATTAAAGCGATTCAAAGTGGGGGTGTGTGTCTCTCCCTTTCTGTCAATCTCTCTCTCTCCGGCTCTCTCGCAGACACAGACTCAAACACACACAGCCATATGTGTAATCATTTTTTAGTACAAAATATTCCCTGTAACCAGACATTCATCTTCAGAATAATCATACCACATTAAATCAGTCTTCTCTTTTCAGCCCTAGTAAAAGTCATTTAATTCTAAGATGCCATCATAGTGAACAACCTTAACTTTTATGCTACATAATTATATTCAAAGCTTTATGTATTTTTGTTTATAATTACACAGTAATTATAAATGTTTAGTACCAACCTGATGACAAACACTATTTTGTTGAAAAGGTTTTGCATTTAAAAAGAAAAATATGTAAAATCCAAGGCACTAGGCCACGAACCAATATCAGACTTTTAAAGAAAACACTTTATATTGAAAAAAAAAAAAAAAAAAAGCTAATGGGATCTCATTTCAAAACACAGCATATGAGAATTAATCAATCTGAAAACAACCATCACTCAAAATCTTCAAGACAGGAAACAGTACATATATAGATATATAGATATATATATCTTTTAAAATTTTCTCATAATTGAAGTTCCTCTTTATATTTACAAAAATGAACTCGGGAAACACTGAAAGCAGCAGGATTACTCTTTTCCCTTTTTGTTTTAATAACCAATTCCAGTAGCTTGAATAGAAATTTTCAAATGTTTCTTTTGGTAAAACTGCATTCATGAATTAGTTATGATTGAATATTAATATGTCCATAGGGAAAGCTTTCTAGTCTATTTCAAAATCATGTAAATAAAAAGCAGTTTTAATAGGTCATTGTTTCTTAAAATCATGTTTGCATAAAACGTACTGCTATTCTGAAGTACATTCCTTTGTTAATATCAACCCTAGACCTTAGAGAGAGTACCTGGATATACCAAGGACAATCTATTCCTATCAAAAGACCATAATCACCTACCATTTGAAGTATAGCATTTCTAGCCTGCCTTGAGGAAATGTTCAAGAAAGCAAAAAACCCTCTTCACATATCAGTAAGTGAACAGAAAAATGACCATTTTCAGCATAAAAGCAGCCCATGGGTCTTGTAATGAAAATAATACATACAAGATAGCATTCTGCTTTGATGAGAAAACTGAGCTCATCTGAGTGAAACAAAAACAGTAAAGAGACTAGAAGCCAGATTGGTATTTTGCATCATGTATGCTTGTTTGAAAATCTTTGCTCCTAAAGTAAATATTTGGCAACCACAGTGATTAGCAGTTAAAGCAATTTCAACAAAATAAGAAGTCATCGAAAATGGACTATTTGTCTGAAAGAGCAGTACCTATATCATCAAGATTGAACTTCATGGCTCATCCAACCATTTTCAAAATTTTACTTCTACTATCGTCTTATAAATTAAAGAGAATTTCATTTGTGTTCCATAGTGCGATGACAAAAAAAAAGTAAAAACAAAAAATAAACCCTCATGCCTAAATTTAGAATATTGTATTGTGTAGCAATCCGAAGCATTCAAAACAAATTAAATAGTTTAACTTATGTGACAGGCAGATAAGCATTTCAAAAGCATGATGAAGTCCAATTATGTAGTGCATAATGTAGACAGGAGTAGAATCTAACATTATGCAGACATTTGCTAAATAAAAGCTCCCTGTAGGGCAATGATATATCAACATGGGTAAGGTAAGCACAGACTAGTTCTGCGGAACCTTTTGAAATCAAGAGTCTGAAACACAATACATTTTTCAGGTAGGCACCAAGTTACCCTAAAAAATCTTCACGTTGGTTATTCTGACATTGTTTTTCATCAGATACTCTAGTCACATCAACAACACATGTGATTTGCCAGGAAAAAAAATATTCCCCCCAAACCAAAACCCCATTCCAGATCCAGTACACTTAAATAGACCCCTCTCATCGGAAGTGCTATTAGCATAGTCTTTGCAACTAGCCCAAAGCGTGGATTTAAGAAGTTTTTATAAATTGTTTTGTGATGTTCATATGTTTAATTCTTATGCCAACTGTTTTCTGATGAAGACAGCATTGTGCTTTATGCGAGAATGAAAACCTCAAAATAATCACCATAAAGCTTCTAAGACTTATGGGAGAATAAACTAGGATGGTCCACAGATAGAAGATGAAATCCACAATGTTGGAATTATAAATGTTTAGAGCGGCCAGACTAGAAGACAAGCCCAAGCCACCATTAGAAGAATGAAATACGATATGGTCCAAGATGTATCCTTAAAGTTTTGTCTCAACCCTCTGTCTGAATTGTGAGGATTGATCTTCAGTTCAGTCCAGCCAGCAGAAATTGACTGTGCAATTTTCTGTTGTATTTATTGTACAGACTATGTACATTCTAGAAGGTTCCTTTAGTGCTACACTGTTGTACTTTTTGTCCCAGCAATTTGAGGGCGTGCAAATTCCACAAAGTCATCAATAAGAACAGGCCATGCTCCTGGAAAAAAGAAAAAATATGAAAGAAAGCAGGGAAAAGAAAAGAGAAATAAGGCTAACATTTTAGTAGAATCCTTTTCTTTAAGACTTCCTCACATAAGCATTAAAGTGTATCATTCTTATCTATTACCAATGATTAAGTCTTTCAAAACTCAAACTTTTTGGAGTTTTTACCCCAAATATTCCTTATATTCCGTGTGATTCATTACTCCAACATTTGGTTGTTCCCTGATAAAAAATAACTTGTCTGGCAACCAATCAATAATATGATTTTCTGAAGGCCACTGCAGTCAGGCAATGTATCCTTAAAGTTTTGTCTCAACCCTCTGTCTGAATTGTGAGGATTGATCTTCAGTTCAGTCCAGCCAGCAGAAATTGACTGTGCAATTTTCTGTTGTATTTTGGTCAAAACTGGCCGCCAAAGGACGGGCATGATACGACAGCCTGCACCCAGTGCTGAAGGCATGAGAGGAAAAACACATTTTCCAGCACCCTGTGGCATTCTCACAAAGGAAATTAACAGGAAGTGTGGAATTCCATCCTATTTCATGCTGATACATAAGTAAAAGGTGAAAATTGCATATATGTATGCCTCTACCCATTCACATGCCCATCCCCAAGTCAGAAAGCTCTTCATTTTTGTGTAAAACCTAGCAGAAGGCACCATCATATGCAGGATTAAACGGTTCACTTTTTAAGGAAGATTCTAAATGACAATGAAAATGAAGAAATAACATCGTCCTTGATTAGCCTTAATGATTCCAGGACACTTTTAAAGACACCAAGATCATAGGGGTTTTTCAAAAAAATAGCTCCATCAGGTATCCCACTGTTTCTCAAGTGGGGCTAGGGAAATATGTATGAAGAAATCAACGTAAATCACTGCCACATGTGGAAAAATAAAAGCCCACATCCTAGTAGTTAATGGTAGTGCCACCTTTATACATACATGAAGAAAGAGCAGAAAAGAATTCAACCAGTGACTATTTACTGAATGCCGGTAGTACTATACTAGGCAGCTGAAGTAAGATTCAAAAAAAAAAAAAAAAAAAACCAGGCGCCGTGGCTCACAGCTATAATCCCAGTGCTTTCGGAAGCCAAGACGGGCAGATCATGAGGTCAGGAGTTCAAGACCAGCCTGGCCAACATGGTGAAACCCTGTCTGTATTAAAAATACAAAAAATTAGCCAGGTATGATAGCAGGTACCTGTAATCCCAGCTACTCAGGAGGCTGAGGCAGGAGAATCGCTTGAACCCAGGAGGCAGGGGTTGCAGTGAGCCAAGATCGTGCCACTGCAGTCCAGCCTAGGCAACAGAGCAAGACTCCGTCTCTAAAATTAAAAAAAAAAAAACAAAACAAAGTCACTGAACTTAAGGAGTTTATAATCAAGCTTACACAGAAGACTAACAGATAATGAAAAAAATGCAAATAAGTATAAAAACACATTAAGAAGTAAAAAGGTGCTAGAGTAAACTGAAAACCTAAAATATGGATAAAAATTACTCGTGCCTGGCCAGGCACAGTGGCTCGACCCTGTAATCCCAGCACTTTGGGAGGCCAAGGCGGGTAGATCACGAGGTCAAGAGATCGAGACCATCCTGGTCAACACAGTGAAACCCCATCTCTACTATAAATACAAAAAATTAGCTGGGCATGGTGGCGCGTGCCTGTAATCCCAGCTACTCAGGAGGCTGAGGCAGGAGAATTGACTGAACCCAGGAGGCAGAGGTTGCGGTGAGCCAAGATCATGCCATTGCACTCCAGCCTGGGTAACAAAAACGAAACTCCATCTCAAAAAAAAAAAAAATTAACTCATGCCTTTCTGGAAGACATGAATACTGAGCTGGAATTGAAGGAAGCAGAAGAATATAGACTGGTAAATGTATGAAGGCATTTCATACATTCAGAAGAGTATTAAAAAAAGCTTGGAGCTGGGCACAGTGGCTCATGCTTATAATCCCAACACTTTGGGAGGCCAAGGCAGGAGGACTGCTTGAGGCCAGGTATACAAGATAGGAAGACCCCTACTTCTACAAAACATTAAGAAATTAGTCAGGCATTGTGGTACATGCCTGTAGTCCTAGCTACTTGGGAGGCTGAGGCAGGAGGATCACTGAGTCCAGGAGATTGAAGGCTTGCAACGGGCCATGTTCAAACCAGTGCACTCAGGCCTGGGCAACAGAGTGAGACTGTCTCAAAAAAAAAAAAAAAAGCTCAGAAGAGGGAAATCCAACTCTGAGGAAAACAAAAGTACATAAGAAGTTCAGGGGTATGTGATAAAAAGAGATAAACAGCAGGTTAAAAAAAGTTGGTGTGGCCAAAATTTTCATTACCTTCTTCATCGTAATTCGACATGTCATCTGCAATCATTGTACTGAAGTCTAAAAGAAGGTTCCAAGTGTCTTTTGGTATTGATCGTTTATGATGCTCCTATTTAAAAAAACAAAAACAAAATACATTTGTATCACCAAAAAGAGCTGGAAAAAAGTTTGGACAATTCTAAATACAAGAATGCAAAACATCTGTGTAACAAAATGCTGGGAATCAAGCTTCTCATTCCATATCCAACACATGATGTTAATTTATCTTGAGGCCGGGCGCGGTGGCTGAAGCCTGTAATCCCAGCACTTTGGGAGGCCGAGGCGAGTGGATCACAAGGTCAAGAGATCAAGACTATCCTGGTCAACATGGTGAAACCCCGTCTCTACTAAAAATACAAAAAATTAGCTGGGCATGGTGGCGCGTGCCTGTAATCCCAGTTACTCAGGAGGCTGAGGCAGGAGAATTGCCTGAACCCAGGAAGCGGAGGTTGTAGTGAGCTGAGATCGCGCCATTGCACTCCAGCCTGGGTAACAAGAGCGAAACTCCATCTCAAAAAAAAAAAAAAAATTATCTTGAAACGGCAGAATCTTAGAGAAAACAGCAAACTGCAGAACAGTGAACTTACCAACAAAAATTTATTCCATAAGTCTAAGAATTTAAATCTTCCATTAAGCACTAAGTTCCAGTAGGCAATGGCCATTTCTAGATCTGAAATATTAAAAATACATTATATACTTAAATGCTATGAGTATCTGTCCCTCCAAAAATAAAAATAAAAACAAACAAAAATACACACAAAAACAAAACAAAGCCCAAAAACAGAAAGCCTGTGACCGGAACACCTATATATCAGAAATCCTAAACGAATTGAGTCCAAATTTGTATCCTCCTTCTTCAAAAATGACCAGGGCCTTTAGGGCAAAAATGATACCACTTACCTCACAGGGGAATTCCGTGTTGTAAATTAGGCAATGCAGTTAAGCACACTGGCTCACAAGTGTTCAAATACTGGTTACTATAACCAGGGTTTCTCCACCTGGGCACTTCCGACATTTTAGGCCAGATGACTCTGTCTAGGGGCTGTCCTGTGTGCTGTGGGAAATGTAGCAATGTCTCTGACCTCCACCCACTAGATGCCAGTCGCAGCTTCACTCAACTCCCACTGGTGAGAATCGAAAATGCCTCCACAGACTGCCGAAGATCACCTGAGGGCAAACCTGGCCCCTGCTGAGAATTCTGGACGTCTACCTTTTTCGTCCACAGGTTGGAAGTGAAGGACTGCTACTCAATCCTAAGTAATCTTATGCTCTAAACTGTTTACTGACTGATCCTGACCACAAAGAGACCGTTAAAAATATGCATCTAAAACTTAAAATTCCTAAGAAACGAAGAATGTTTTAAAGTTTGTCGAAGACAATCTAAACGACTTTTTAACGGGGCATGGAGCAGCGAAGGGTAGAGAAGGCAGTAATGCTGCATGACAGAGAACCACACTCATCCCGTGGCAGAGAACCGCGATCTCCTTCAGGGAACTAAAGTAATTAAGAAAGTATCTAGTTTTTATGGGTGAATTTACTTCTCCAGCACAAGAAAACTTACATCCTAAGTAACTTAAGTCTTTTTATTAATAGATGACATCTCAAAACCATTCTTCATAATCTGAGAAATCATGAGAGACTAGGAAAGACAAAAATTGGTGCAAGTGCTACTCGAATTTTTTTTTTTTTTTTTTTTTGCGACGGAGTTTCGCTCTTTCGCTCTCGTTACCCAGGCTGGAGTGCAATGGCGCGATCTCGGCTCATTGCAACCTCCGCCTCCTGGGTTCAGGCAATTCTCCTGCCTCAGCCTCCTGCGTAGCTGGGATTACAGGCATGCGCCACCATGCCCAGCTAATTTTTTGTATTTTTAGTAGAGACGGGGTTTCACCATGTTGACCAGGATGGTCTTGATCTCTCGACCTCGTGATCCACCCGCCTCAGCCTCCCAAAGTGCTGGGATTACAGGCTTGAGCCACTGCGCCTGGCCATAATTTTTAAAAGGAATAAAGAGCCGGGCGCGGTGGCTCACACCTGTAATCCCAGCACTTTCGAAGGCCAAAGTGGGTGGATCACGAGGTCAGGAGTTCAAGACCAGCCTGGCCAAAATAGTGAAACCCATGTCTACTAAAAATACAAAAATTAGCTGGGCATGGTGGTGTGCCCCTGTAATCCCAGTTACTTGGGAGGCTGAGGTGGGATAATTGCTTGAAACCGGAAGGTGGAGGTTGCAATGAGAAGAGATCGCACCACTGCACTCCAGCCTGGGCAACAAAAGCGTAACTCCATCTCAAAAAAAAAAAAAGCAACAAAGAGTAGGCCAGGCGTGGTGACTCACATCTGTAATCCCAGCACATTGGGAGGCCAAGGCAGGCGGATCACTTGAGGTCAGGAGTTCGAAACCAGCCTGGGCAACATGGTGAAACCCTGTCTACTAAAAATACAAAAAAAAAATGAGCCGGGTGTGGTAATGGGCACCTGTAATTCCAAATACTTGGGAGGCTGAGGCAGGAGAATTTCTTGACCCAGGAGGTAGAGGTTGCAGTGAGCAGAGATCATGCCACAGCACTCCAGCTTGGGGGACAAAACAAGATTCCATCTCAAAAAAAAAAGGTGGGGGGTAAATCTGACACTAATTCACTGTCAAAAACGGATGATTTGTAAGATATCAATTATAGGCTGCATGTAGTGGCTCATGCCTATAATCCCAGCACTTTGGGAAGCTGAGGCGGGAAGAATGCTTGAGGTGGTCAGGAGTTCAAGACCAGCCTGGGCAACACAGCAAGACCCCATCTCTACGAAAAATTTTAAAAATTAGCCGTTCGTGGTGGTGCATGCCTGTGTTCCCAGCTACTCCAGGAAGCTGAAGTGGGAGGATCTCTTGAGCCCAGGAGATGAAGGCTACAGTAAGCTATGATCATGCCACTGCACTCCAGCCTGGGTGACAGAGTGAGATCTCTTACAAACAAACAACACAGCAACATGAAAAAAGCAATACCTAACCACCCCACCCCCGGCATCCACGGACACACATACAGTAGCTGAAAATCTGCAAGACTGAACCTTAACTTTGTTCAACGATGGAGACTACATACTCCTCAGCCAGCAGACTGAAATACACAGCAGGCATTCAGAAACTGCTAAGTGGACAACCTTCCTGTGGTTTCACGTACAAATGTACTTACCTTCAAATCCATCACCATCTTCCTTCAAACTCAACAGAAATGAAGAAACTCTTCAATCCAAGGAGAAGCCCCTTGTGCCTCTATTCTAAACCCAACACCATCCGCCTCTTTAAGGAATCTTGTCTATTGACTCACTTTCCCCTCGCTCTACACCTCCAACTTGACCTTGTCCTCTGGCATTTCTAACTCCACAAAGAAACATACTCAAGTTATCACTTATCTTTTAAAAATCTTTCTTGGATCTCTTACCACCTTCACTGGCTATACCCTCTTTCTCCTTCCCTTCAGAGATAATCTTGAAATAGCACTGAGAATCCTCTATTTTTATACATAATTTGTCTGAAAATCAAATTTAGATGCCCATGTTTTAAGAGAACTAAAAAACAGATTACACCAGCTGGGCATGGTGGCTCACACCTGTAATCCCAGCACTCTGGAAGACCAAGTTGGGTGGATTACCTGAGGTCAGGAGTTCAAGACCAGCATGGCCAACATGGTAAGACCCCATCTCTACTAAAAATACAAAAAAACTAGCCAGGCATGGTGGGTGGGCACCTGTAATCCCAGCTACCTGGGAGGCTGAGACAGGAAAATCACTGGAATCTGGGAGGCAGAGGCTGTAGTGAGCAAAGATCGTGCCACTGCACTCCAGCCTGGGCGACAAGAGCAAAAATCCATCCCCCCCCCCCAAAAAAAATACGCAACACTAATTTCTAATGGCACTTCCCTTTTAATCTATGCAATCTATAAAGCCCCATACCCAATATTCCTTCCAGGTTGTTTTAATTTTGTTTTCTTTACCAACTCAACATACTGGTTTAAGTGCCATAAATGTTCAGTTGAGACTAAGTATTTGCTGTTATTAGTGTGCTTAATTCCCTTCACTTTAAATGCGTTAAATTTATGAGAACTAAGCATATTGCTAAGGTATGTTTTCCCTTTTCAACTAATTTGTATAAAATAAGGATGACAATGAAATATTCAAATAAATACAGACCATGTGACGCCTATAAATGCCCATTTGTCAGCGGATATACCAAATAAGAATTTGACAAAAGCAAGCATGTACGCACATAGCATTTGAAAGTTCAGGCTGTAATCCTGAACAACACAGTGAGACCTGGTCTCTACTAAAAAGCAAAAGACTTAGCCGAGTATGGTGGCACATGCCTGTAGTCCCAGCTGCTCGAGTGGTTGAGGCAGGAACATCGACAGAGCCAAGGAGGCTGAAGCTGCAGTGAGTCATGATTGTGCCACTGCACTCCAGCCTGGGTGACAGAGCAAGCCTGCCTCCCAAAGAAAACCACACACACACACACACACACACACACACGTTCAAAAAGAAGGAATTTCTTATAGTCTACATTCATTGTACTGTTTCCTCATTTCCCACACATTCTAATCCTGTTAACCAAAGTCTACCTGTCATCCACCCCAATGAAATGAAACTCTGAAGGTCATCAGACCCTCTGGTTACTAAATGAATACTCTGATGTCTCCTCTGCAGTATCTGAGAGAATTGAGCATACCTCCTGATAGAACTGTCACTTCGTCAGCTTCAATGCTAAGCCCTCTAATGATTTCCCTCTGTTCCATCAAGGCTTCTCATTTTCTTTTCCTGGTGCTCCTCTTCCTCCATTCACCCATTAAATATTGGTGTGTTCTAACAATGTGTGTCATACTTTTCTAATTTCCCTCAGATTTTCAAACCTATGCCATTGTTCACGTTACATATTCAACCACCCCAACAGCCCCTAAACCTGAAAGCAATCTCTGTATTCTAGACCATTTATCTAACTGCCTGAAGACATCTTCAACTTGGTATCCATGAACTACTTAAACTCCGCAGCGCTCAAACTGAACCCTAACTTGTCTCTATAGACCTGCTCTTCCTTCTCAGTGTCACCACCCTCTATGGTATTTCTCAGTGAAACACTACTTCTCATTAGCACCACCTCTACCTCCAAACCCCTGCTCCCCCTTCCCATGGCCAGTAGAAACCTTAGGTCATAATGACAAAAACCCACCAATTCCCAAATGTGTCCTGAAAGTGTTGATAATCCCTAAGACTCCTTGCTTCCTCATCAGACGCAATCAACCAAAGCACGTTTTTTGTTGGTGGTGGTTGTGCTGGGTCTTTTTGAGATGGAGTCTCACTCTGTCACCCAGGCTGGAGTGTAGTGGCGTGATCGGTGCTCACTGAAACCTCTGCCTCCCGGGTTCAAGCGATTCTCCTGCCTCAGCCTCCTGAGTAGGTGGGATTACAGGTGTGTGTCACCAAGCCTGGCTAAGTTTTTGTATTTTTAGTAGAGACAGGGTTTCACCATATTGGCCAGGCTGGTCTCGAACTCCTGACATCATGATCCACCCACCTTGGCCTCCCAAAGTGCTGGGATCACAGGCTTCAGCCACTGCGCCCAGCCCCAAAGGACTTTTTAAATCTGTCTCTTCTCCACCCACACTGGGAAGGTCTATGTTAGGATATTCT